CCTCCTTCCGTCACCATTTATTCCTCCTTTACCCTCTTCTACCCGCTCCTCCTGCCCTTGCCCCAGCGGGACTGGGTGGAGCTCAGAACCACCCCTTCCCGGACCACAAGTGGCCCCACAGTGGAGAGGGGCACAGGCCTAGGTGGATGGGGAGGTCTTTGGACCCCCTCTCCCAAGCAGCTCCCACCTCTCCGGCCTTCCTCCCGGCCTCTCCCAGGCCCTAGCTTTTGACCTTCCTTCCGAGCACCCTCCCGCCCCCGCCCCTCCCCACCAGGCCTCTCTCTCTTATCTCTCAGCTTTCTCTCCGTGTCCTTCTGTCTCTCCTTTATGTATCGCTTTCCTCCCCTGTCTGTCTGTCCTTCCCGAAACCTCTCCCCCACACCCTCCATGAATCAATGGAGGTTGCTCAGAAGCTAAAGCAGCCTGGCCCACTAACCTCAGAGGGGGTTGAGCATCGACCTATGAACCAGGAGGTCACGGTTCAATTCCCAGTCAAGGGCACATGGGTTGTGGGCTCGATACACGGTAGGGGGCGAGCGGGAGGCAGCCGATCCATGATTCTCTCCCATCATTGATGTTTCCATGCCTCTCTCTCACCCTTCCTTTCTGAAATAAATAAATAAATAAAGATATATTTAAGAAAAGGAATGACCTTTGGGTGCTTTCTGGTTCCAGCATCTAAACCCCGAGGCTGCCCGAGCAGAGTCACCCTTCCTTTCTGAAACAAATAAATAAAAAAAGATATATTTAAGAAAAGGAATGACCTTTGGCTGCTTTCTGGTTCTAGCATCTAAACCCCGAGGCTGCCCGAGCAGAGTCGCTCGGGGAAGTCACTGTAGGTTGAGCGTATTGACCAGTAATTGTTTCTGACCCGTGACTTGGCACGCGTTTTCTCCCCAAATGCTTTCAGCTGTTGGAACGGGGCCCTCCAGCCACCGAGTGTTCGGTGTGGACGAGTTTAGCGGGAAAAGGGGGGTCCTGGGTGGGTAGGTGGGGGTTGCACTGGGAAATGAAGATGAGCTGCTATGGGCAAGCCCTGCTGCTCATGACTCTTCATCGTCTCCCGTGACAAGTAGAGCAGTGACGTCGCGATGGGTGGGATGACTCAGGGTGGACGGTGTGTGCTCTTCCCTGCCACGCCCCCCGCCCCCGGTTCTGCATGCACCTGACTGCTGTTCCGCTTTCTTTGTAGGACAGATTTCTGCGTGCACAAAGACGAACCGTGTGACACCGTCGGTAAGTTTCAAGTTAAAATAATAATTGAAGGGGCCGCTACGTCCCCTTTGATACTTTTTGCCTTTTCCGTCGCCTCTTTTCTTATAGAAATGGATCATTTGACTTTATTCTGCTTATTTTTCCAGAAAAGTGTTGACAGTTCTTATGGGAGGAGGCGTCCAGACAGAGGGTTAATAAGGAAGATAGGAAATGTTAAGCTGGGGGAGGGACCACGGGGGGACCCCGAGGTGACTGTATTTGGGGCGCATTTGTTTCTGAGACTCTCGGCCACCAGTGCCGGAGTCGGGGGGACCCCCTGAGTTAACGCGATTGTCATGAGACAGAGCTTACTGGTTTGATCTCGTGCCCAAAGATGGTTTCCCCGTGCGTCCTGGGTGAGGTGTGACCAGGGTGAGCCCTGCCAGCAGCAGGCTTTGCTTTCAGGTCAGATAGCAGCGCTACCACCAGCCCTTGCTGCTGGACAAACACATTTTCCTTCTTCCCCTCCCTCCCTCCTCTTCCTTCTCCTCCCCCCGATCAGAATAGACTGCGAGGTTCACAGCGACCCCTAGAGGGGTTTCAGTGAGGTCAGCGATCGCCCAAACCTCTATTCCCGAGGAGGTCACAGTACGGCGCCGCCGAGTGCGAACTCCTGAACCCTCTGTGCTTAGCACTGTAGGAGCACGGGCGAGGCCTGGGCAGTGTATGCCCTGGAATTCACATGTTCAAAACCCGGGCTTCCCTTGGAGTCCTCGTTGCGTCTCATCTCCATCCTTCTCTCTGGCTTTGCCGCGTACAAGCTGGAGATTTTGGTTAAATCGTCATAATCCTTGCCCTGGCAGGTTTGGTTCAGTGGGTAGAGCATCGGCCTGCGGACTGAAAGGTCCTAAGTTTGATTCCGGTCAAGGGCACATATCTGGGTGGCAGGCTGGATCCCTGGCCCTGGTTGGGGCTCATGTGTGAAGCAACCAATAGAAGTATCTCTCACATCGATGTTTCTCCCTCTCTGACTCTCCCCCTCCTTTCCGCTCTCAAAAAAAAAAAAATCTTTGTAATCCTTAAAATGACCACTTCAAAGGGCACTTTAAGGCCCTTTGAGATCTAGCTAACGGTGACAGCTGCCATTGGTGTCACCTGTAGAGTCTTTATAGGTTGTCCTCCGCCCATCCTCTAAACAGACCTGCAAGCCAGGTGTCGGACCCCAGGCATGCTTCCTCTTTGGGGGCCTTGTCCATAACGAGTGACTAGACTTGTCAGTGTGACATTGGCCTTGATAGAGGGACCGCTGACACCTGTCTCAGTCTGGCTGGGGCTGTCGGTGACCAGTCCATGCTGACCTCTGTCCGCTGACAGGGCTGCCCAGGCGGGGGCTGTCCTTCCCCATGCCCACGACTCAG